GATCAAGTATTGTAAAATAATTTTTTTATGTGTTTCACACCGTGTGAAAAATCAGTCGTGTAACATCGACGGTCGCTTAATTCGAATTATCGGGATTGTGGATCGAAGCACTAAAACCGTACCATACTCATCAGCTACTACTACGTATTATAGATTATAACCGGTTTATAGTTTAAAAAAACCATACTAATACTAATACTAATACCATACTGATCAGATATTATAATAAATAAATTATAATATCGAATCAGTATGGTTTTTGTTGAAAATCCATACCATACTGAACTGTTATTGTCTAATAACTGCGCAGATCTTTAATATATAAGATCTGCGCAAAACCTCAAATTGATAGAAATCATTGAAGAAAATTTGTAAATCTGCGTAGAAATTTACTACGTATTTTAATATTTTTGCCGATCTACACTTTAGATCCTTCAAATATGGTCTCGAATTAGCGTCCCGAATTTAACGCACATCCTAATGTGACAAATAAACTTATAAATGACATTAAATGCATTGAATTTAACTTTATCTTCGAATAATTAGTTTAAAATGATTTTCGAATCTAAATACCCAAAAATAAAAATTCCTCAAGAAGGAGTTTATCAATATTTGACTAGTAATCATAAAAAAATTCCAGATGATAAGGTTATTTTTATAGATGGAATTACTGGTAAAAGGTATACTTACGGTGAATTTAAACATGAATCGAAAAAGTTTGCTGCAGGATTGCAAGATAAATTAGAATTTAAACGTGGGGATGTCTTAGCTATATGTTCACCTAATCATGTACTTATTAACGCTTTCATTAATTATGGTATTAATTATGTTATTAATTAATATATTTATTTTATTAAGATTGATTTTCCTATTGTAGTTTTGGGAACGATTGCAGCTGGTATTAATATAATTTTCATATGATTTAAATAATACTATTAATGTTTTCATTTCTAAATAATGGTTATGCATCTAATACTGTAATAGGTGGGAAAGTAACAACTGCTAATCCGAAATACAGAGCAACTGAATTATCATATCAACTAACCGACTCAGGTGCATCTGTCCTGATCGTGCATCCGGAATTTCTTGAAACCGCCATTGAAGCTTCAATTGAAGCGAAAATTCCCACATCTAGAGTATTAGTGTTTGGTGATGAAGAAATAAAAGGGTACAAGCCTTATCGCTCTGTTTTAATCGGTGATCATGAAATTGAGCCGGTTTATTATACTCCTGAAGAAGCAAGAACAACGACTGCTTATTTACTTTATAGTTCTGGTACAACCGGAAAGCAAAAAGGTGTCGAAATCACTCACACAAACTTAAATGCTAATTTAGCTCAATTACTCGGTGCCAGCTGTGACCTTGGTCCAAATAGTATACTTATGGGAGTTTTAGTAAGTTATATAAATGAGTTCCTTTTAAAGTATTTTAGATCGTTATTTAGAATAATTCTTCATTATTGTTATTATTGCTTTAAATATAGCCTTTTTTCCACATTTATGCATTAAATTGCATTCTTCATGGGACCTTTATTCATGTAAATATTTCAAATTTTAATACTCTTCATTAATTTGATATAAATCTAATATAAAAATTATACGTCAATGTTATAGGGTGCTACTACGATCGTTCTTCCAAGCTTCAATGTGGAAACATTTTGTGAAGCAATCCAAAAATATAGGATCACTCATATTCATGCTGTTCCGCCGATTATCCTTAAACTTGTCAATGTCTCTGTAGTTCAAAAGTTTGATTTATCAAGTGTGAATATGATCATAAGTGCGGCAGCACCGTTGAGTGATGAATTGGAAAAAAAATTTAATGAGATGTTTAAAGTGCCGATTTTACAATGTTATGGTCAGGATCCTCATTATAAACTGTCATACCACATAAAAATATTTAATTTTTATTTTTTTTGTTATGGTAAATTGCTTTCTATCAAATTGAATGACATAATAAAGGTCTTACTGAAACGTCTTCGATAGTGCATTATCCTGATACAAAGAACATTAATAATTCAGCTCCAGGTATTATGTCATTAAATGATGTGATTATTGTATAACTAATAATATTTCATGGTTTACTAAATACCTCATTTTTTTAATAGGTTCTATTGGATTTCTTCTTCCGAATGTGAAAGTTAAAATATTGTCAGAAGATGGTGACGGTACGGTAACTATTTAATACATATATAATACATATATAATACATATATGATACATATATAATATATTTCTAATTTAAACAAATAACTGTAAATTCAAATAAATTTATAAATTTATATTTTAGAATTGGGATATTATAAACCTGGAGAAATGTGGCTTCATGGACCAAATGTTATGAAAGTAAATAGTAGCATAACTATTTTACTATGTAATTATTTAATTATTTAATTGATATTTGTATTAAAAAATTTCATACTTTTAAATAGGGTTATCTTAATAATAAAGAAGCTACAAATGCTGTCTTTGACAAAGATGGATTTTTTAACACGGGAGATATCGCATCTGTTGACGAACAAGGTATACTTTATTACCAAATAAAAATTATATTTATATGTGTATTTTAATTATAATTTTTATTTTTCATAAAGGGAACTTTTTCATTGTTGATCGAAAAAAAGAGTTAATCAAATATAAAGTATAGTAGATATGATTATAAATAATTTATCAAAAATTAGCATTTTTCACATTATTATGTTATCGAGTTTAACTGACAACTAAAATAATTATTTATAGGGTTTTAATGTGGCACCTGCTGAATTAGAAGCAGTTCTGCTTACACATAATGCAGTATTAGATGCTGCTGTAATAGGATATTATTCTGAAGAAAAAGCAACCGAAATGCCTATAGCATATGTCACAATTAAATATGGATATGAGCAATCTCAAGCTTTAGCAAAGGAAATTCAATCTTTTGTAGATGAAAAAGTTGCGCCACATAAAAAATTAAGAGGTGGTATATTATTTGTTGATAAAATTCCAAAAAGTGATTCTGGTAAAATTCTAAGAAAGTTATTGAGAGAAAAATTAAAGAATGAAAAAATGAATTAATTTTTTAAAGAATTCTTTTTTAACAATTATTTAGGAATGTTATTTTATATCAAAGGAAAATTAATTATTATGTCATAAATTACATGTTACTTTTTTTCTAAATTTAAATAGTATTTATTACCTTTGCAGTTTTTTTATCAGACACTGAACGTACAATAATTAATTTATGAATAAATATTACATACTTTAGAGATTAAAGCTGGCATAATAAATTTATCACTATTTCCAAATTACTGTGATCATCAACAAGTCCTACGCCTGCTCATGCGCATTGTCTAATTGTTGAAATTTAAAATTTTCTAATTTGATTAGAATTTACTTTAATATTTATTGTAAACCAGGTATTATTTAGTATAATATAAATTTAGAATTTCAATAAACAAATAATTAAAGATATAGTACTAGAATATTAATTTGATATTTTAATTAACTTTTGAAACCATTAGGTCAATTCCAGGTATTGGCTTGGTAATTGTTGCAGTTGTCTTTTTAAAAGTAAACCCTTTGACTAATTTAAATTCAAAATTTTTAATTAATATAAAACATAATTGCTTTAAACTGTATTTGAGCTAGCTTCATTCCAATGCAAGTTCTTGGTCCAATTATAAATGGCAGGTATGCATTCTTTGTAATTCTAGATCTTATTTCAGGATTGAGCCATCGTGATGGATCAAAATTTTCAGCACTTTCGCCCCATATTAAGGGATTACGATGAATTGCATAAGCTGAAATCATTAATGGTGTTCCCTAATTGATATTTAAAAAGTTAAATATTATTTAATTTTAATAGTAAATTATTAATTAAAAAATACCTTTGGGATGGTATATCCATTCAAATTTACATCTTTCTCAGGTATACAGAAATGTATTGGAACTTTAAAGTAAATTTAATAATTAGAATACTGTAATTATAGTAATTTTTCATAATACTGTAATATGAAATAATTCTGATATTGATACATACGAGGTGGAACAACTCTTAATGTTTCTCTATAAAAAGAGTCTAAATATTTTAACCTTTCAATCTTTTCAAAAGTGGCATCTTTAAAGTTTGGAGATAAATCAAATATTTCCTTGCGAAGATGATTTTGAATGTCAGGATATTTTGCCATATAATATAATGCCCAAGTTAATAGTACATTTGTTGTTTCATGACCAGCGACTATAAATGTTTTGACCTAAAATTTTAATATTTTAATAAATTTAATATCATCTATATACAGTACATAATATAAATCAATAATTCAAATATTTACCTGATTTAATAAATCATGATCTGATAACTTTTCATTATCTTCTAATTTTTCATTGGCTTGCAGCAATAATGAAATAAAAGTTGGTTTATGATTTTTATGAGTAGGTTTATTTTTTATTTTATCAAATATTTTCGCAGAGATATCATTAATATCTCCAAGTGCATTATAGTATTTAACATTGAAACCAAATGGGATTTTTCTTATAAAAGGAAATATATCTATAAGAGCAACATATAAAGGTGAAAGGTCTGATTCACTAAGTATAGCATATGATTTAGCCAATTTTGAAGGGGAATCAATAGAATTAAAATTTAGATTAAATCCTATTTTATATATTAAAAGTATTTAAAAATAAAATTTAAAAATTTTAATATTAGAATTATTACAAAAAACAAATTAAATTTAATGCATACCAATTAATCCAATCATATCTAAACTTAACCTGGAAGTATATTCTGAAATTCTAATTCTTTCTTCTTTCTTATTGCCAATTTTTTTTAGCCAGATATCTTTTAATTTGTGTGTTGATTTAAGAATTGTAGGGAACATCGCCTTATATAAAATATTTTAAAAATTAAATAAGATAAAATAATTCATTAATAAAAAGAAAGAAATACAAATATAAATTGGTATCAAATAGCAAAGTTTTATACGTGACACAGATAAAGAATACGTAAGGATGTACCTTAAGATTGGAAACAAAAAACATAGGCTCCATCATTTTTCTTTGTTTTTGATGTTCTGCTCCATGAACAAATGGTAAACTCTTTCCTGTGACATCTTTTATAATAACCATTTTCGGCTTTCCATAGTCGTATACATTATCAACAAATATTTGTTGGACGAGTTTAAGATTTGTAATCAAGAGAAAAGGTTTGCATAAAAATGCATGACCCCGAACAATATCGCCATTTTCTTTTATTATATTGTTAAGGCTTTCACCAGGCTATAAAAAAAAAAAAAAATAAGAACATTTAAATGGAATAAAACTTTTTTGGGAATGGACATTTAGAATTTATCTCTTCGTTTAGAAAAGAAGCAAAATGACCAATAAGTAAGTTTTTAACTGGGGGGCCAGGAATTTTACATAAAGGAGACAAGTATAAATGATATATAAAATGGTAACAAATGAACACTAGGAATGCAGCAAATGCAATTAAGTATAGAGACATTTTGAAGGGGTTAAAATAATGCTGTAAATTCATAAAGCTTCAATATATAAAGGTATTTAATCGTATTTTGTTATTTTTAGATATGGGATACGATCAACTCACTGACAATCACTTCGTAGACAACACATTTCACCGACAATTACTTACCGACAAGTTCATTTCACCGATAGTTCATTTCACCGAAGCCCATTTTACAGACAATGTATTTCTGTCAATATCATTAGGGTTAGGTTAGAATTAGAGTTAAAGTTAGTGTAACTTAAATCTTGTCGGTGAAATGAGCTCGGTGAAATAGACTGTCGGTAAAATGATCTTGTCGATGAATAATTGTCGGTGAAATGCGGTGTCTATGAAATGATTGTCGGTGAAATACATAATACGGACCCGAAAGCTTTTGATTCCATTCGGAACAGCTCAAAAAAATGATTAAATAGGCTACTGAATGATCTGATCTACGCCCCATCAATTTTTTATCGTATTATGGTTGTTTTTATACTTTTTCTTGAAAAATGTAAAAACGTATGTATATGTTAATACGAAACTATTATTTTTAACTAGGCTAAAAAATTCCGTACAGATTTAAATTAGGAGTATAAAATGATTCAGCGAGATTTGACGAGTGCTGCTATTAGAATAAAAACCAGTGGCAGTCTCTGGATTTTTGATCATAATAACCTAGCTAGGATCTTTTTTGATATACTAGCGTAACAGGTGGCACGAAGTGCCACCCCACCTCCTTATTGTTGTGACATATAGTATAAATTGAAATTATCTATAAAAAATCGTGTTTCTATCATGCATTAATGTAATAAATAAATTATTACATAAGTAGCTGCGCGACATTGTCGCGCTAAACCAGGAACGGGCAAATATTAGCTTCATTAAAAAAATGTTGGACAACTCCAATACAGAATAGTTATATGAGTTATAGTTTTGAACTCAGCTAAAAAAATAACAGGACACTTCAAGAACATAACATGTGAAATCATGCAATGACATCATACACTAAAAAATTGGCCCAAGTTATCCTATCACTAATCTTAACACTAACTTAGGCTGAACGTTTAATCGTGATGTGATCACGTAAATATCACTGGGTTCCTTGTTCTTGAAATTACCCAAAATATCGGGTATACAACTAAATACAACATAACTATATTGATATAAGACACTACAATTTAAACAAACAAAAAATTTCATAAGGTTTTTGGATGTATATTATAGAGTGTAGAATACCTCTTTAAAAAACATAACATAACAATCCACTACAATTTTCTAATGCTAACCTTAATAATACATAACGCCGGAACAGATATTAAAAATAGTGGTATTTCACACCCTATACCGTACGATCCGTTCATAATAATTTGCTTGCATAATTTAGAAATGCTCTCGGCTGATGATAACTATACAGACTAATGTGGATATGAAGCTAAATAAGACGTAAACAGCTCATATTAAATACTTAGACCAATTAGACCAATGAATAATCACTAAACATCTAAAGCCAGGTAGAAATTTATATGTATCATGTGATTTTTAATTTACAAATTTGTTAGTAATCAATTTTTCGAGATCATGCACAAGTACTACAATTAATTCTGTAATTGAAGCGATCTCTACTGTAATTTTGCTAGGTCTGACAAAAAAAGACGGCTTCAAATTATATTTTTTATCATGATAATGAACTTACTTACCAGTTAAACTACGTTTCACTAGAGCTGTTAAGTCGTCTGACTCAAAAACAGATGGACTGCCGGTCCTGTCTTTTTGGGACGAACTGAAAGGACCGTTGGTCCTAATATCAGTTATTATTGAATTATTGTATATAAATAAAATATAATCTGAATCTGCAATATTTGATCTGATATTAAAGTTAAATCATGTATATAAATAAAATATCTACTTAAAGTTGTGAGAAAACTTTTTATTGTGTTGATATAAAGTCATATGCTAAGCAGTGAATACTTAATTAAATATTTAGTGCTTTCAAATAAATGTTTTAGATTTTGAAAAAACTAAATTTCTTTAACATAAATCAGGTGCATGCATGGAATACTCCAAACTCATAAATTGACTTTTAAATCACGATACTAATTGAGTTAGATGTTTAATTAACCAAAAAATAAAAGTCTTAAACTAAATGTTCATAAGTTAATTGACATAAGTTATTTGAGAAAAGCTACTCATACTAACATTTATTATTACTCTATTAGGTTAACACAGGTCGAATGAAGGCAAATTGGGCACCAATTGGCATCATATAATCCCCAATATGAACCTGATTTGAAACAGATATTTGGTGCAAATAGGAGATATTTAAGATATAAATTGGGTTCATATAGGTAATCAATACATATCAGAATGTCAATAGCTCTATAGGTAAATCAAAAAAGCTATAAGGCAAGTTTTATCAATTACCTATAGTGCTATCGACATTTCAATATGTATTGATCGCCAATATGAACTCAATTTGTATTTTAAAGGTCACCAAATATCTGTTTCAAATCAGTTTCATATCAGGATTATGTGATGCTGATTGGTATCAATTTGCCTTTATTCGAACTGTTTAATTTTTAGAGGTTTAAACAATAATAAAGATTTATAGTTTTTTTTTCTTATTTAATCTCTATTTTATTATAATAGCTGTTTTTTTTTAACAAGAGTTAGATAACTGATATACAAATTTAATATATTTAATTAGAATTATTGTCTAGATATACTTACAGTACAAGTTCATACAAAAATTATATACATAATTTTCAAAATTCATGCATATTTCAAAACTAATAATAATAGACAGGTTTAAATATTTAGTTAGAGATAGCTTTTATTTAATAAAACAAGTAATAAACCAGTAATTGAATAGAATCTATAATAATAACAGGTAATAATACAAATGCTGATACAACTTATGTATAGTGTTTGTAGTAGACCATTATTTATCGACTAGACTAAGTTGATATTTAAAAATCAGCTTAGCCAGCTAAGTTAGAGTCAATTATTTGAAGTTCTATTTGATTAAACTTCAGAAGTTATCAGAGATTTTCTCAAATTTTTTGTCTTGACTTGCTTGTATTTTATATTCATTGTAGCATTTAATTAGTCTAATAATCAGTCTGTCCAGTCACATACTGATCGGTTCTAATTAGTCTGGTCCAACTTTTTAAAAGATCGTTAGTCTTTGGACCAAGATTGACCAGACAGACCACTTAACAGCCCTACTTTCCACCAATTAAAAATTGAGTTCTGATCTATAATTTATATGCTTGAGAGAACCTTAAATTATGTGAATAAAAATTGAAATGAGAAATTAATTAATACATATATTGATTGATAATATTCAATTGGTTAAATTAGAATATATTTAAATGAAATATAATTGACATTATATGTCAAAAAGTTTTGTAGACAAATTTCAATCTATTAAAGATTTTTAGAGCTGTTGCTAATGCTTGTGTAGCTTCTTTAAATACTATATTGCTTTAAAATCATTACTGTATAAGCATGAAATAATGCCCAGGGTTGTTAATTTGAAAATCAGATACCCCTAAAATAGTATGTGTAGCTTCAAATTAACACCTATAGGTGTCCAGAATTAATACACATCCCTATAAATAAATAAAAAAAGATAATTAAGTAAAAAGTGTTTCAGGCTAGTTTGATATTAAGTAAATCTATTTTGACTTTAGTTCTTTAGATTGAGATGATTCTTACAATGGTAAAATCATCAAAAAAAGCACTGTAGTTCACCTGCAATGCCTCTTTAAAGTTTTGCAACATTTGTTTATTTTTGTTTAGACAAAAGGTAAACAAATATTGCGAAACTTTGAAGAGGCATTGTGAGAGGACAACATAGTTTTTTTTTAATGATTTTATAACTGTTGAAATTGCCTCAACCTGAAAAACAACTTTTGCTAAAGCCAAAAAAAAATTTTGCTTAATATCAAATAAGTTCTAGGTCATTTTTTTATTTTTATTAGTTAGAGGTGCAAATTTAATTCTTGTTTCGAAATAACGTGTAGGTCAATTAATTAATACACAAGTGGGCATTATTTCATGCTTGTATAGTATTACTGTAGCAACATAATAACATTTAATGTAAAGCTTATCGATATTATTTACTACAACTTTAGCCATAGCCAAGTTATACTCTAACCATAACACAAGCTGTGGCTTTAATAATTATGATTTAATCTGAATTCAGTTGTGGCTAATGCTAAATTATAGTTAAAAGCTGTAACACCATAGCTTAAATTGCAACTCACCTGCTTCAGCATGGCTCTATTGTGCTGCTAAATCAGCTTTAGAATAAGCCATTAATGGCTCTAAAGACTATCTGGTATTTGGTTAGTTCAATTTTCAAAAAAAATATTGATCATCATTCACTTTAATTGAGACAAAAAAATAGAAAACACTGCCAAATTTGGAAGTATCATAATATGTAATACTGTAATACAGTATTGTGGCATCAAGATCACATGAAAAGCAATCCAATCAGATTCACAGGTTCATACACTTTTTTACTTGCTATTAAACTATACTCTATGTACTTTGTACTTTGTTCCTGGTAAGTCCAGATATCTAGCTAGATCTCAATTTAATTTTGTAAATAATCTGAATTTAAATTATCTAGATACACTATTACAATTGCTAGTTGTATTATCTATGGAAATACAATGTTCTTTTATGTGTACAAAACCATAGATGCTATAATTTGATAAAGAGTCATGTAAACCAATTTCACGATCTATTTTATAGTTAGTACAATCCAAATGACAATACATAATATTTTTACAGCACTTAAATTAAGACAAAAACCTGTTAAATCAATGTATAGTTAAACAATTCTCATACAATTGATAAATATAGTGCCATGTAATGCATATTGTGATATTTAAATGCAGAAATTTATATTTTTGCTGCATTTTAGCACTTTGTCCAATCAGATATAAAATTTTGTAAATGCATACATTTAAAAATGATATAGTAACCATACATTTCATAAAATTTTTAATATCACTCTGTTTCTAATAAAACTTATTACTATCCTGGTGACACACATTATATAGTTAAGATTGTTTGGTTTGTATTAGAATTAGCATGAACTCTATTATATACTACTGTAAAAAATATTATTATAGAACTTGTTATTCAGTTAATATACTAAATTGGTTAAATTTAGGTTTGTATCAAAATAATTATGATTTTTATTTTGAGTTACCATAGGACATTTATTCGAATTATCAACACTATTTAAAATTACTACTTTAGTAGAAACAGAAACCATCATCTATGTAAACATAATATAATTTTTTTTTTTTTATGTTCGGCAGTCTTGCTATTCACTTTATTAAGCTATTATAACTTTTATATTATTAAATATAAACTATTATAACTTTTACAAAAGCTAACCCTTTTGATACCTACTTTACAAGTGATAGCTTACCTAGTTATCTCTTGGACACCTATGTGTGATTTCTATAAGCAGATTTATCTCCAAAATACTTCTTTTTACAAATAAAAGAAATATGATATCACTAGATGGATTTTAATAGCCTGTCAAGACTACTCATCTTCTTTTAAAACTTTTTTCACTTAGATCCAGCAGAATAATTAAGTCTCTTACATTTGTATAAGAAAAGAAAATAATGTGCAAATTTATGAATGACCAAAAATTTAGAAAACAGATATGAAACAAAAGAAAAAAGAAATAGACAATCCTAAACAAGATCTCTACATAAAGAGAAAAAGATAAAAAAAAGCAAAAAAAGACAGAATAGCCTGACATACATGAAAAAGAAAAAGGAAGTGCACTATTATAACTTGTACAAAGCTAAAAAATTATATATTAACTGCAATATCTAATATATCTTAAATTATAAAGCATCGCCTTATTATATAGAGTCTCTTTTCAATACACATATCTGATATCGAGTATCTCCAAACCAGGGCACTGATTCTTGTCCTGTGACATAGCACTGAGTTGATAAACAAAACAAATATATGGTTGCATACTACTGAGTTGCAGGTATAAACAAAGCCAATCTTTTGGAGGAGATAAGCTAAATCACCACTTTTTATCAAATTTCTTGGTAAAACTGGCCAAAACGAGAAAGAGAAAAAGACCACTTTTATACCAAATAAAAGAGTGTGCTAAAATTAACAACAACTATACTAAAACTTGAACAGTACTAAGTTTTTTCAGAGAGTAATAAACTCTGAGCTTGTTAGCAGATAGCATATGTAAACTATCTCTAAACAACAAGTGCCATGCCTGTAGTAAGTGATAAACTCTGAAGCTGTCGGCAAGATAGCATATGAGAACTATCTCCAAACGACAGCTGTCTTTACTTATGGTTTAATTTTCTATGTTTCACAGTTCTAGTATAGTTGCTTGTACTGTTTTTTAGTTTTATTATTAATTATTCTTATATATTAATAATTATTATTAATCTTTAATATTACAATTATTATCTTACAATAATTATTATAGTAATTATTATAATAATAATAATAATAACGATAATAATATTCTAAATAATAAATAAACAGTACCTTTGGTCTTTTTGAATCTTCATAATATATTGAAACAATCTTCCTACCAATCGAATAAAAACCATCCTTTTCAAAAACTGCTTGAGTTTAATTATTTCTCTTAGCAGAATTTGTAGAAACAAGCAACACCATCTCAATCTTACTTTCTTTATGGCTGGTTGGATATTCACCAATAGCAAACACGATTATTGAACTTCTATTATTCTTATTTTCAGTCTTGCTAACATGACATAATATAAATCAAATTTCAAATTAATATTTTTTTTTTAAAAAAAAAAAAATAGTTGCCAAACTACAACACTTTTATATTAAAATTAATTTAATATAATAAAAATATATAAAATTAGATAAACAAATACAAACATTAAACTTTATAAATAAATAAATTGATTTTACCAACCTAACAGAAATATAAATTACAAATAGTAATAACAAACATAAATAAATTAACATTTTCCATACTAAACAAGTTATAACAAACATGTGATTTTTTTATAAAAAATAATAAAACATAATATACATGGAAAATGTGTAATTATTGCAACATTTACAGAAATAATTATCATAAATATAGTAAATTAATAATTAATAATTAATATTTATACACTGCATATATTAAAATAACATCATAATAAATTACCTTATATAACCTTTAGAAATCAACAAATGCAAACCAATATAATCCAAACATTAAATTAACTAAATATAGAAAAATACAAATAACTTATACTTCAACCCAAATAATACACAAAATATATTACAAATTCAATAAACTAACTCACATACATATGCTTACTAAAATAATAAAAATTAAAAACCTCAAATAATATTAAATTACTAAAATAATCATATAAACTTTTAACGAACTCAATAATAAACTATATTTTCAAAAGTAATAAATTCTATAAACAAAATTCTTTTTTAAGTAATATTATAAAACATCTAAAACTTCAATACCAATACAACAATTATATAATATATAAATTTAATACCATAATTCCTTAAAATATCTATAAAACAATAAAAACTGAAAACTCCAAATTTTACCTATATATTATAATTACCAGAATAATAATAAATTAAAAATTTTAAAATAATATAATATAATAAAAATAAAAATATTTTACAATAATCTTTAATATACACACTCTTTCCGACAATTACTTGGACCAAAATTTCCTACCAAAGAAAAAATGAATTTCTGTTGGAGAGTTGTGGTTTAACATAGAGGTTTGTCTAGAGGTCAACAGTTCTCTTCTACTGGAACTCCTCTATTATAAGGAATGTGTATTTGGCATACAAACCAGGAGCATTCATATACAAAATCTTGGAGGTGGGCAAAAGCCTTCGCTGTCGATGAAGCTATTTAGGCTGTTACTTCAGTAAGAAGAACACAGGGGAAACAACAGAAGTCTATTTTTTCTTCAAGCTGCACTCTTTTACTTAACCAAGTGGTTTACTTTCTATCTTTACTCACCCTCTTATCAGTTTTCCAAAATTTTCTAAAAAAGTGGAATTTGGCTTACCCCCTCCAAAAGATCAGCATTGTTTACACTTATCGAATTTGGGTGAACTTAGTGGATTGCAACTATGTGTTTGTTTTGATGATCAATACGTTGCTACGATACAGAGAAGAGATCAATGCCCCTGTTTAGGAGATACTCAAGTTGAGTCGGTGCCTGGAATAAGTTAAATCAATAAAATCAAAGATTTTACAATTGAGATATACTTTTAGTTGCAATTAGTATATAATTTTTATCTTTATGTCTGGCACAGGCTATAATAGTGTGTCAAGGCTACCTTTTCTTTTTTCACTTTTTTTATCTTTGTTCATTTATGTTAGATTATTTTAGAATTTGTTTTCTTGTTTGTGTTTTTTTTTATCACCATGAGACATTTTTTTTTTAAAATGTTTAGGTCTTTTATAAACATAACTTTATTTTTTTACTTTTACATATGAATAAGGGTTTTAATTATTTTGTCAGGCTTAGGTGAAAGAAGTTAGAAAGAAGAGAAAGTAGTCTTGACAGGCCAGTAGAATCAATCCAGTGATATCATATTTCTTTCATTTCAGGAAGAGGTATTTTGAAAGTAAATCTTGCTTATAGCAGGTCACGCATAGGTGTCCAAAAGATAACTGGGTAAGCCAGTACTTGTAATTTAGATATCAAAAGGGTTAGTCTTTTGTAAAAGTCATATAAATTTATATTGTATAATGTAAAAAATTATGATAGCCTAATAAAGTATTTGGCAAAACTGCCAAAATGGTAAAAAAAAAAAATAATTTTTAATATATAATCACTATTTTAATATACTAAACTAACTTTTATATTCAATATAAGATGGGTAGCACAAATATGCTACCCATTGCACTAGTTTACTATATTAAAGAAATGTATATGTTTTTATATAATTTACATAGTGAATATAAAATAATCAAATTAGATTGCTAAAATAATATATAGTTATTTAGAACCCTGAAATATATAAAAAGGAGTAAGTCTTAGTTTGCTTATTGTTTATATAAATTTTTTAAAAAATAGTGTATATTTTTGACTATTTTATGCTAATCTTTACTATTTTTAGTAATTTGTAAATATTTTTAAAAATCTTAGCTATTTATAGATATTTTGGAGTCCTAGTTATTTTATATACTGATTCAAGTAAAATATTAAATCTTATTAGATATAGTAATATAACTTGTATTGGCATTTAGTCAAGCTTGCAATAATTAATTTTTTTTATTAAGGTTATTTATTTTAAAAAATATTTTTTTATTTCTTTTGTTTACTTATGATAATTTTTTAAATTTTATTAGTATAAACTTTTTATTAATTAGTAAATACATACTAATTTTAAAGTAACATGCTGCTATGCTATTTATTAGCTTTATTTTGTATGTGTTAAATTTGTAGCTAAGAAAAAAAATCTACTTATATTAAGCCTTTCAAGTTTATAAATATTTCAATTAAGCCATATAATTTTTATTTGTATTAGTTAAATATTGAGAATAAAGTTTCTAAATTCATTAGTAATATTTATGTATATGAATATTTAATAATTTGTAATACACTAATAATATTATTTTCTGTTAAATTTGGGAGAATTTTTTAATTAAGGTATTGAAATAAATATGAATATTTTTTATTTCATACACAATAATTGAATGTGAATAACTCTTTTCGATGATTATTCAAACCAAAATTTCCTACTAAATAGAAAACTAAATTTTTGTTGGAGAGTTGTGGCCTATTTAGTAGTTTGTCTAGAAGTTAATGTTGTACTATTGAGACTCCTTTAAAGGATGTTTGATATGCAAGCCAAGAGCATTATTGTACAAAATAACTGGCAAAAGGTGCCCTTGTATAATAAATCTTGATGAAGTATAGACAAAGCCCAACTTTGTCAACAAGGCTTTTAGATCATTACTGCAAAGAAGAACACAGAGTAAACAACAAAATATATATTTTTTGATGCTACACTTCTTTTACTTAGTCAAGTAGTTCCTCTCTTACTTTCTCTTATTTTTCCATTAGTCTTCCAAATTTTGTAAAAAGTTGGTGATTTGGCTTATCTCTCTAAAAGATTAACATTGTTTACTTTCCAAATTCAGACAGATTCAGTAGAATGCAACCATGTGATGTGTTTACTTATGAATACGATGCTACCCCAGGGAAGTCAGTTCAGAACCTCCGGTTAAACAAATATTCAAATACAATTATAAGTTAGAAAAACATTATATATTAAGGCAAAGCTTTACAGTAAAGATATACAATTGTTGCATTTGTTATATAATTTTTTCAGCCTTATACAGGTTATAATAGTGTATTTTTGTTATAAAGAGAGTTGCAATCCCTCTCAACTTTATAACCTTGTTCTATAAAATATATTTTTTATTTTTTCCTGTTTTTTCTTTTTGAGATTTTTTTTATTTTTTTATTTACTTTACTCTTTTCTCTTTCTCTCTTTTGTTTCATTTTCCCTTCTTAGTCATAGTTCATTTTCATTTTTTATAGAATGTTTTTGGATAATCCCAGTCATCCATGATCTGGTATAATAGAGTAGTTGCACTTAGGCCTGAGCTAGGTTTTGTACCACAATATGGACTGAGTGGAGTCAGGCTTTTATCTTAATATTTTATGTATTTATATTATTATAGATATTAATAAATAAGATTAGTCACAGCCAGACCCATCACATTCAAAAAAAAAAAAAAAATGAATGTGAATTGCTTGTTCAATGAACCGCACAACTATATTAACTTAATGTATAAATAAGCAAATAAGTTTGTGATAAATTACTGTTATATTATTTAATTCATCACTATTTTAATGTTAATTTAGCATATTAACAAAAACAAATATTATAAACGGAAGCATATGAAATAAATAATCAAGATTATTTATCGATCTCATTTTTATATTCTATTTATTTAAATAACTAGATTATATCAAAACAACCCTTTTATTTTTAATAAAGTAAATATTATATGAATTTATAGAACTAATAGACTTATAAAAAAATTTACTTAAAGATATAAATCATTAAAAAAATACATTATTGTTAACTCTAAAATTTATAAAAAATTTAATGATATAACTCATTAAATAAAATATATTGCAATCCGTTATAGGGAAATATTATAGAATGTAAATAAATATCTCAAGGAATAAAAAGTAAATAATTATATCTTAACTATATTTATTAACATTAACATTATTAATTCAACTTCCTTTACCATGCCCGTTATCATTATTCCTGCTACCCGTACCATTATTACTTTTACGAGAATTAACAGTACCCGAATAAATGACTTGAGAACTATTTGCACTAACAAAATCGTAGTGTAAAGTTTTTCCATCAGCCGGGATATGAATAGATAAGAAACCAAAAGTCAAAGAAGAAGTAGAAGTCCAATCAGAACTTAGACAGCCAACAGAATCAAGTGTGGCACCACCAGCACCGGAACAGAAATAAGTGATGAGAGAAGATGAATTTTTAAGCGAAATGGCAAGTTCATGGGAATGACCGCTAAAATACACAGCTACTTTATGCTTTTCAAGGTATGGTACAAGTTTATACATTAAATAATAATGAGTATTTTTAAGTCGACAATCGCCAACAAGTGGATGATGACCGACAACGAAAATCCAATCAGCATCCGCTACAGCTGTCAACTGATCATCGAGCCATTTTAATCTAGCATTAAGTTGATCAGATGTGTATAAATTAAAATCTGTAAGTGTATGTTTTAAATTATTTTTTCTATTATAATTAGTGTAATTATAATAATATGGATTTGTATCTATGTGAATAAAGGCGGCGTATACACCACTACCAAATTCAACTTTTCGAACGAAATAAAGTGAAGGAAGAAAGAATCTCGAATCAATATCCCAGAAATAGTCGACTTCAGCGGTGACATTATTGTACCAATCATGGTTTCCTACTACGGTATACCAAGTTACATCTGCCAAATTGTCACCATACACATCTAGCCAATAACTTTTCCATTTTGAATCAGTTTCGGTTGATACACCTTCGTGATCATTTGCATCAAGAACTGTAGGAGCAGTAGAATTACTTGTCTGATAAAAGCTATCTAATAGAAGATAAATAATCATTTACTAAATAAATTTAAACAAGTAAATTTCAAGTATGTAAAGTAAACAATTTTCTTTAAACCTACCTCCAAGATTTAACACAAATTTAATATTTTTAGACCAAGTTGCCATAGCAGAAGCTACTTGAGATTGACCGGTAGCAGGTCCTTTCAGTCCCCAATCACCAATAGCCAAAAATTTAAGGTCACCATTATAATGTTCTTGGAATGTGGTTGGATATGGATCACTAACACTACCACTCGGCCTTTTGTAAATATCTGAACCTTTTTTATATTTGGTATTCTTTTTATGTCACCTGAGATCAGAATGATTCCTTGAATGAGAGTTATGAAAAATAAAAATAAATTCATTTTATTTAGAATTGATAAGTCCTAGATTTCCAAATTTCGATTTTTTTTTTCAAATCGAGTTGCTGTATAAAAATTATAAATATATTTTTGATGAAATTATTATTATAGCATGCATGACAATATCTTTTATTTATACTAAAATTTTTTTAATCGTTAAATGTCAGTTTGCTTTAAGAAGCGCCGAAATTTGTGTAACTGAAAAAAACATTATTTTCTGCAAACTAGAACATGATTATGCGGTGTCTTCGCCGCCTAAGTTAATAAATATTCCTTTTATTTATTTTACTAATAAATTAATGCAAAGAAAATTGATAGGGTAATGAGTTATGAATTTTAGTTTTGGTAATAATATAGTAATGATTTGGTATTACTACATTTCCTTTTTTTGTACAAATGAGATCTAACTAAATTTATATTGTAATCGCTAAAGCCTTTCGAGTTGACGTACGTACATACGTACAGTACAAATTAGTGGATGGTTTTATTTAGAATAAATTATAAGCTGATTGGCGTTGATACTCATGATACATTTTTTATATTACATAAAAACTCTAATTCTAGAGGTCTGCTAAAGTGGAATTAATCAAAATTATCAGAAATAAGTTTTATAAATGAAAGTCGGGTATGCTCTTGAAAAAATAACCGATATTGCACTGTATATAGTTGAGTTTGTGTATAGCATTGTCCCTCCTGACAGGCTGACTGCCTATATGAAATATGTTTAGTAATTATTTTGAACATATCAGAATTCTGGGTGAGAGAATTGGATTGCAAATATGACTTGCTGTCGCAGCAGAATTGACTGTTTTGTAATGAGCTTCTTTTTACTTATGGTTTGATTATTATATCAATCCTGTTTTGGTCTGTATATGGTAAATGATTTAAATCATCTTACATGCATTTATGAATTTTTGTACATACCTACCTAGGCGTTGATTTTTCACATGCTGTCTACATTAAGCTTATAGCCAGCCACAAACTGGGCCATGTGATGAGTTTCCTACATCCCTGCTTAGACTAGACACCTTTCAATTCTCTTATAAGTGCGTACGTATATACGTTTCGTGCTTGATATTTGACATAGAACACTGTAAATTTTGTATTATGGAGTCGGTAAGTCAAATGACAATAGGATTACAAAATTAGATTGGCTGTTGGTCACGAACTTTCTGAGGTGGATGCTAACCAATGATGGAAGCTAGTAGGCGAAATATCAAACCAACTAAGTAAAGAAAACTACTTTCCTGGAACTTTTAAAGGATAATTCGCAGATAAAATATTTTATAGGCCTCACTTAATGATAGGCCGTTGTAACTCCCAGATATGGGAGAGCGGTAAATGAGCTTGTGCAGATTAGCTTTGGGCATTGCATAGATTACAGTATGAATGTTTTATTAAGGGATTCGGGTTAAAATGATAGTTGGAAATTAAGGAAGTATAATCATTAGAATGATTCGTATATTCAATCTCTTATTCTTCTACTATGACGATACTTCATGCCTTTTGCAATTTATCTTCCCACTTTATTAGTAACAGACTACTTTTTATACATTTACAACAATTTCTATTCTACACCCGATTCAGTTAAAATACATTATTAATTAAAGAAATATAGTAATAATCTATGATCAAATTATTACAACAAAATGTAATCATTGATATTCCCATCGCATGATTATAATGCAACGATTAAGGTTAACAAAAATTCCCATGACACAATTTACTTGGCATCACATAGAGTTATTTATTAGATGTGTATTAGTAAATTATTACCTTGTATGATATCAGTTAAATTTTGACTACTCATTTTACAAAGTTTAGGTTTATTGCTAAGTTACGGATTCGTCACAGCTGATATTGGAAACGGAACCTCATTTTACTAAGAAATCTTGAAATTTTTTTGTTTTTTTTTGTTTTAGAATTAGGTTAAGGTTTAGGGCTAGAATTATTAAAAATGAGTATTTATAAATTTTATAGGTTTAATAGATTTAAATAGAGTATACGTAATGATAATCATTTCTGCTAACTGATTACGTCACACAGCTATCATAATTTAGAAACGATCAGCCCATCAAACTGGCAAAAATTCAGAGGGAAGAAAATCAAATATATAAAATGGGTCAGTCTCTACCGTTATGAGTATTCGGGCACTTTTGATCAAACTTTGATAATTTATTGGATCGTATTCTTGAGCCGATACTCTACCTTTAGTGCAAGTCTCGTCACATAATATCATATAACGATTTATTACAATTCTCATTCAAAGATTTTTAATATATGATCTAAATTTAGAACTTTGCATAATCATGCATAGTGAT